TTAAGGTTAAGAAAATCTTTTATTTCTCTTTGACACTGTGCATGCAGCTTCATCCAAACACTTGGGAAAAAGGAATTGCAACTATTTGAAGCTTTAATAATTACACTGGGTAAGGTTCAGGCATGTTACCTAGAAATTTGTCTTTATTCATTCGGTATACTAACGGAAAATATCAAGAAAAATAATGAAACAGTTTGGATCACACTTTATGTATATTCATTTAATACTACAATAGAAGATGTAAAAATCTTCCTCTGAAATTGCTAACTTACCCTTGTTAAAAACAGGTTATCTTTCGTTGAGGATTCTAATTCCTAAGGAATAAAAATCATGACAATACAGATGAAGTTTAAGAATTGCAACCATCAGAAGAATAACAATTAAATTATGATTCATTAACCGTATGGTTTATTGTGACGTGAAAACCTTTCAAGTCTTCAAAGAAATCTGAGGACTTCTTTGTGTTAATTCCAGAAGTTTCATGATAAGAGTATTAAATCCCACACTGCTAAAAGTCCCATGTTCAATAATGGTGAAATTATCTCATCTATTCACTGGTGAGTCCTGTTCAGGTACAATCAGACAATCAGCTAAATTGATCATTTTGTACCTAAAAAAGACCTAGTAAGTTTAATACTGGCTCCCAGAAAAACAACCAACAGGTAAAATTTGAGTCCCTAGAAGAAACAGGTGTATGAACTTGGCCCTATTCAGATCAACAAATTATGTGTGTAGGTAAACCAGGTTTACCTTGAATGAAAATCCGAAACAAAGAACTGAAAGACTGACTTTTCCATAGGTTTCAAGTCGATACCATCTTGTATTTTCAATATGTGTACTAAATTTGAGGTCAACAAACATTTGATTTATTCAACAAATATCTGATTTATTCGCTCTGACGAAGGGCTAACACTCGAAATGTCAGCTTTTATAATTGTAACGGTGGCTATTTCACCATTTCAACTTTGCTGATATATTTAAATTATTTTGTTACCCCCACCGACGCAGCCCCAAACAGTTTCTTTAGAAACCATCAGCCTTTAAACATCTGATTACAGAGCTTCTATGAAGTAATAATTTGAAACAGTTTTTCACAAAACAGCTTTGAAACATGTTCTTAAGAGGTTTGATATGTCTTGAAATCCAGACAAAAGCCTCATGGCTCAGTTTGCTTTTTCTTTTTTTAAAATAAGGATTTAATTATTAAAATAAACACAACAGCACCTTATTACCTGCAGTACCTCTTCACAAAGACCATTATTTTCCCTTGCGTCATAATGTTCCACAGGCCTGCCAGTTTCATTCTCTGGGACAAAATCCACTTCTACTGGGTCATTCAGGTTTATTGGCCTGTTGTAGTGACATCCTGTTGCTAGTGAAGGGGAGTTTCTATCAGTTGTTGCTCCTTCAGGAGTAGTTGGTCTAGCTGAGACACTTTTTAGCACCTGACTGTGATGTTCAGTTTTTCCAATGTGCTCTGGATTAGTAGATAATGATGACATCTGGGTGTAAGAGTTGCCTTCTCCTGAGAAGAACCCAGTATCTTGACTTTCATTTCCTCTTTGACAGCCATCAGCATTCCCCACAGCCCTTTCACTTGACTCTGGAGGGTGGAGACTAGATTGAGCACATTCATCACTAAACTCTCTCCATGGTATGGAAGGTAGATTTAAATGAGACTGACTACCAAAAGTACCCATCCACATTTTCTCCTTAACATCAGGCTTAACAGTGCTTTGTAGATCAGGCTGCCAATGTTTAGTTTTTGGAATTGCTCCTTCATGTTCTCTTGCACTTGGGTCAACCAATGGCAACTTTATCAAAGGATCTGGAGCAAAAGAAGATGAACAGCCTAAGTTGGCACTTAAAGATACAAAAATGAGTGAAGTGAAGCATTGAGTTAAACATAAAATTTGTGGATAACGATCAATGTATCACTATAACAATACTACAAACTGTATGCTACATTAAAAAGCAAATTTTCAAACATGTACAATGTAGAAAAATTAGGTTAATATTACCTCATAAGTATGTATAATAGAACTAAATGCTGTCCAATCTGGAAATAATTGGATGAAAAGAATTCTGAGGACAGCCAAAATTGGCTGTAGGCCCAGTCCAACTTTGCTGTCAGAGGCATCTTTTTCATCCAATTATTTCCAAAATTGGACAACAGGTAGTCCTTTTACTTATAAATTTATATAACTAGTCAGTTGTAATTGGGAATTGCTCAGTCAATCTATTATTAGTCTGGCTGGAAACCAGCCAGAGTCAGAAATTTCAGTTGCTTTTTCCTGTACAGAAAAGTACACAATAGGTGCTGTGTGGCAGTTTTTAATTGGTGTAAAGTAATGTAGTTGACACAGCCTGGGAATGAATTGAAGTTTTGGCATCGAATGTATTCCGGCTTAAAATGCTCAGGGTATTGTAATGCTGTTCATGGGTCATGTAAGAATAGTGGATCATTTTTGTACAAATGAGGTGCTCAAATGCTTACAGATACACCCACTGTTCACAATGGATAATATGCCAAGTGCTGTTTTCAGAATGGGTCCTTTTGCAAACTCAAAGATATATGTCAAGAATGCAAAAAGAACTTGAATAAAACTCTAGTGAACTCAGTTGAATTTGAAAACTATTCAAATAAACTGCTGAGTATTAATTCTTGTACAAGCAGGTGCTATATTGAGAACTTGTCTGAAGAGCCAAGAAATAGGTAGCATGATTTACTACAGTTGCCAAGATAGGTCTGTTGTGTCTAAAATTATTTTGCTTTGGATTGATCAGAACTTTCTTTACTCATAAACTTCCGTGGTTAAGGAAAATTGTTTCAAGCTTGCAGTGAATGTGTACCCCCACCGATGCAACACCACAGTTTCTTTAAAAACTTTCACCCTTTATTCTTGATATGAAAAGTTTGTTATTTTCATCATATCACTAGAACACATGTACCTGTGTATTACCGCGGAGAAGACTAAGAACCAAGCAGCATTGACAAGAAACGACTGACACATCAATTTTTCAAAAGAAGGACAACTAGGAAACTTGCACAAAGATTTTGGTAAAAAAGTACCATCATGGTCATCTAAACAACAAAGTATTAAAAGGTGTTCTCTTGTTTGGAGAGCAAAGTAAACTAGCTATGCTTGATGTATAAACAAAGTATTATTATTTTGGGCCCTGGAACACTTCTGATAGCATATTTTACTATTGTTAAAATAAAGGCATGTGTGAGGTTACACATATATAGTTGATAATGATTGACACATCATTGTTTTCTTTAACTAGCAAGGTAAAAAGGCAGCCGGGAGTTAGGCAGGATCCCGCTGATCCCACCAAGGATCCCAGGTGGGAATAGCAGGATCCTGCCGATATAGATAGGATCCCACCTATCCCGTCTAGGACAAACATGCAATCCCGGCTAGGATCCTGCCTCCCACCCAGGATTACAGGTGGAATAAGTGGGATCCCATCTGTCCCACCTGGCAATCGTGGTTGTCCTGCCTAGGAATCCACCTCCCACCAAGGATTTCAAGAGGAATAAGAGGGATGCCATCTGGAGGTTAAGGTCATCCTGACAGGGATCCTTCCTCCCACCTGGGATTCCAGAAGTATAAGTGGGATCCCATGTGGCCCACATGTGAAACACATCTCTAAATTAATTTTAAGAAATGTGATTCCAGCTATAGTACTATAAAAAAAAAAGACCTCTTCCATTGTTCAAAAGCACAGAACAACCATGTAAATCAGAAATAGATTGCAGTGGGAATATCAGAATATCTTGAAATTTAAATAGACAAATGAAAGTTTAAATGTCGTACCATACAATGCACCACTAAATCTGCTGGTTAGATGTATATAAATACATCTTTAGTACTCTAGCTGTAGACATCCATATCTGCATGAATGGGGAGACATCACAAAGGCCTCACATCTTAGCAAAAAATGCTAGCAGCAAGAAGTTCAGTCCTGTTCTTCATGATACAGGTCTTGCAGTAATATCATAGACCACACTTTTCAAATCTTCTTTGTTATTTCTTTAATTAAGATTCAGAAAGTCAAAAAATTCTTCTAAAGTAATAAACACAAAAGACACCAAACAAGATGCGAATCAATGGAAGTGTTAGTGCAGGCAGAGTATGACCGTTAAACAACAGCATTACATTTGTGCACGTGACTAGAGGCTGATTTAGTGCCCCACTTAAATGTTGTAACCACCATTGATTGCAAGTCATAGGTTTTGCTTTTTGTCAAGAATCCTCAGTTTTCTGGTTACAATGATAACAAAAATTTTCTGAACAAAAGAAGGAATTGTCATTTAGTGTTATAGTTGAGACTTGGAACAGCCTATAGATTCAACAAAAGCATTTGTATCAGTGTGATTATGATTGTTATTGCTTACAAAGCAGGTGAATTTAAACTTGGTAGCACTTGGTGAGTACAACATCATAATAATAATAATAGCAACAATAATAATAATAATTTGTTGACTTCTAAGGTGCAATTTCTATGCATATATATTCAAATGCGCCGTAACATAGCTACCCCCCGATTCTGAGTAAACAGGGCAGACCACATCACAGTAATCTCCTGAGTGGCTTCCTTAACGTCCCCTGCCTAACCAAATTAACTAATTAATAGATGCAGGAGACGGGAACTACGGTTTATTTGTCCTGATCCGAGAACAACAGACCGGCTCTCTAACCAATTGAGCTAACCGGAAGGCGGTAAACATGTGTTTCTCTAAAGGCTTCTGGCTCTTAAACTTCAATTGGAATTAGGATTTTTTAAACCACAATTTGGAGTGCAATTGTATGTGCCAAAAGTGCATTTTAGCCAATAATTATACCAATTTCTACCTTGTTTACAACTGTGCAATTAGGGTATTTTCAAATTCACCATTTATTTTGAAACTTTCCAAGAAAAAAAAAAAGGAGAAATTGTCTTTCTTTAAGTGTTATGGAATACATTATTATGGAATGAACCAAGGCATTTGTATCATTCTAATAATGACCATCATTGCATATAAAGCCAATGGATTCAAACTTGGAAGCATTTGGTTCATAAAACTCAATGAGTGCTTCTCTTAAAATGTCTAGCCGTTGAAATTCAAATTGAAATTAGGATACAGTTCAAAGTGTGATCATATGCACCAAAAGTGCATTTTAGTCAATGAATTTACCAATTTTGAACTGTACTCCTTTGTGTACCTCACAATAGTTTGAAAATTCACCATTATAAGTTTGAAATTCTCTAAACAGCTGAATTAAGCTATACAGGAGTGC